ATTATAATCACTATTCCTTTCTCTACAAGTTGACCGAAGCAAAGCACCCAACTGCGAAGGTGAGCCGGCAAAGCCGCCGCACTAGAGAACCTCGCCACCAGTAGGTTTGATTTTTTGATTTTTTTTTAGCCAACCAAGACCTTTTAACGTGTTTTCTCGCAGGGATTGGTACAAAACCAGCCAAAACGGCCAAAAACAGCCAACTTAAGGCAAACTAATGCCACAAACGGCGGTGCCGTCGCCGAAGCACAACGAAGTCGCTGTGCCAGAATTCTAAAATTGGCTAAAATGGATTTCTAACACTGATTTTAAATTTTTTGGGATATTTCTAGGTACTTGAAGCATGTTTTAATCTCCGAAAAAAAATTAAGGGAACTTGGGGATCGCCAGTAGGCGCAGTCAAAAACTTAGCGTTCGGACTCCAATTCGTGTAAGAATCTATCACTTTATTCTCTGTTGTGAAATTGAAGTTTAATTTTAAATAATATGATATTTTGTGAAATTTATAAAATATTTGTAATTAATTAAATGTTACTAATGGAGGCGGAACCAGTTACTTATTACTGTTTGCTATGTTTAACTGATTGCCTGATTTTATAGTTTTCGAATGCATGATAATATACTGAAATTGGTATGATGATGCACTTGTGTTTCCTAGATACATGAATTGCTTGTTTGGTGTTATTACGGTTAAATTGGGTAACTAAAAATTAAAAGTAAACGGGAAGTTGTCTGATTAAATGATTGGATGAACGACAGCCTTACTAAATTTTTTAGGAGATGGTGGACGGATCGGGTACATAGGAAACCTTACCGCGAATGTTGTCTCATACTGGACGGGGTATAGGGATGACCCATTTCACCCTCATACCGGATGAGGTATTGAGGGATGATATCTTTTGGAACTCATACCGGACGGGGTATAGGGACGACCCGTTATTTGAAAATATTGAATAAAGGTTCACGTGTAATATGGATATCCTTATAGACTTCAATAGATACTAGTAGGCTGATAAAAGAGAAAAGTTGTTGTTTCGACTGATTACATGTGAAATTATGCTATTGTTTATGTTCTTGACTCTATAGATTGGTTTTGAAAATCTCACTATGGTAAACATGCGGTAAATGATTTTATTCATGATAAACGAATTTATTTAAATTAAGAGCTCTATTAGTTGTTTTTATGATTTCTACCAACCTTCACTTTTGTGTCGGTGAGTAGCATGATATTCTTATTGGGCTAGTGTAACTTATTCTTTCATTAACCATTTCAGATCAAGAAAACCAAGATACAGAGCCTGATCCACAAGAGGGTTGCGAGTAGGATGCCCAGTTGTTTATTTTCTATTTATTTTCTTGATTTTTTCGTTATTTCTTTTAAAATTGTTATTCTCGTAATCCTATTGAGTAATCTGAATTATTATGTAAGGAATGTAAACCTTAACTATTTATTTCACTTATGCACTAAATTTATAATTTATCTCATTTAGAGTTCACGGGCCGTTACATATTCAGTTATATAGATTTTTAAAGAATGAAAAATCTAATATATTTAAAGTCAAACTAATTGCAAAATAAACAAAAACCCAAAAACATACTAATTTATAAAGATAGAACACCACAAAAAAATGTAAAGTAGTATCATGCATCTACGAATTAACGAAGTATTTGAATTGTTTGGTATAAATTTAAAATATCTTTTAAAAAAACCAGATTAATGTCTTGTCAAGGAGAGCCAGAGTAAACCTTTACGTCTTGATTGGATGACTTGCATGAAGGTTTATTAATGTCAGGTACGGTCGGCTACATGTAAGGTTCATTAATGTTCAAATTTAACAATATTTGAATGATGATATATTAATGTCTGATAATATCAGTTGTTTTTGTTGGGATTAATAAGATGGTATAATTCTATATTTGAGCAAATTTTTTATTTTATCCACACTTTATTATATATAATAATAAATAAAAAAATAAAAAGAAAAAAATTAAAAAAATATAAAATATTAAATATAGAAATATATATAATATATAATTTAAAGATATATATAAAATTAAATATATTATATGCATATATATAATTAAAATATTATATACATGTATAATATATAAGTAAAAATATAAATATATATGATAAAAAATATATATATATTATACACATGTATTTATATATAATTAAATATATAAATACATATTTATATATAAAAAATATATATGATTAAATATATATATATATATATATATAGAATATTTTGAAAAGAAAAAGAAGAATATAAAAAGTGTCAGGTAAAAAAAATTAAAAAGAAGGGTAATATTATAAATGATAAAAAAATTAAGAGTATAAAAAAAAAAATTATCAAATCATCATAAAACTACTAAATCGATAATTTGAAAAAATGAGCAAAATTATAATTTTGAGAATCATGACTCAAACATCAAAAAATTATTTTATGTATTTAAAAATACAAACAAATAAAAAAAAATTATGAAAAAATCATACCATCATTATTAAATCATAATTCAAACAAAACATTCATCTTGTTTAAGGCCTCAAAAGATTTACCAACCAAACATGTTTAAAGGCTCAAAACAAATTGTCTTCGCATTTTTAGGTTTCCAAGTAATCCTTTTCTCTCATTCACAATTCCAAATAGAAGAATGAAAGATAATTAAAAATGTAAACAAGAGATTCAAAACAGTTCTTATCGAGTTAAAACAAAACTGGAACGCTAAAATAACCTTGAGAGAATGACTAGATTTCTCGCCATCTCCGGCAGCCCATCATCCGTATGAACAGTAACTACTTACTCGCATATACTGCTAAGACCATATATTAGAACTAAGAGGCTAAGAAGGGGCAGCAGGAATCCTTTAAGCAGCAAACTTGATTAATCTTTTAAATTTTTTTCAACCATTGAAACAGTATTAAACAAAGACGGCTACTAATGCAATCAAGACAGATTTTATGAGCAGAATGTCTGGCGGCCATCTTGCCAAACAAATCTTTAAATACTTCATGCTTTTACCTCAGAGAGAGTCAAGAAAAATGCATTTGAACCCGTGGACAATCATTTTCCCATGCTGTTAACTAAAGCAAACATGCCTGAAGCTCGAATGATTAAAAATCAACAAAATATATACCAGAAGGAAACTAAAAAGGCTTGTTTCTAAATAATGACAGATAACCCAGATTCAGAAAGAAGAAGAGAGCATGCCTCCTCTTGCTTCTTTTGTCTTCCCTGAAATGAAAGTGAAGAAGAAAGTCGTTCCTCTTCAAACGACCAGAGAAAAATGAAGTTACTTCTAAACGATGCCGTTTAGAGATGGGACAAATGAGCTTGGGCCGGGTTTGAAATGTGGGCCTGGTGACTTTTAATTTCGGTTTAGTTGAGACGTTTGAAGAAAGTCCATGAAATCAGCCCAACCCAGCTTACTGTCAAGTGCGAAAAGCTACCGTTTCAGGATTTTGTAAACCTGTTTCTAGGGTTTTGTGAAAAGGCCTGTCGAAGGAAGAGAGAAGAAGAAGGGTTTTCACGGCTTCTGTCTTTTTCTTTGATTCCTGAGGTGTTGAAGTAGAAGAAGGAGAAATGAGGGTGATATAAAAAGGCCCGTCGAAGCACTAGACCTAAGTTCGAAAGGGTAAGAATCTAGAGAGGGAGCTGGCAAAGCCGAGGTCCTTAGAGGAAAGAGATATAGAGCTGAAACGCGTGATTATCTGAGAGTGAAAGCTAATAATTGGAGGAACGCGATTAGGCCACCTGATAGAGTAGAGTCGAAGAGGAGTTCACTGTGTTCAGAGGCTATTTGAGAAGAGCGGCGAAGTCGAGCGAGGGTGAAGAAGTTTGGGCGAAAAGAGAAAGGCTTTTCGGGTATGTTCTCAGTGAAAATTAATGTTTTTTTTGGAGGAAATTTAAGGAGAACAGGGTGATAATTCAATTATGCTTCAATATACAAATAATGACTAAATTTTAGCTATCAAACTATTAAAATATAGGATAGGATGGTATAGAATAGACT